GGGCTGGCTGGCATGTGGTGCTGGGGGATTGAACCGCGGTCCCTGATGCTTTTGCTAAGCTTGTTCTAAGTAGGTGCTTTAGACCACCGAGCCATCTCTCCAGCCCCCATTTTTTTTTAATTTATTTTATTTTATTTATTTGAGAGAGAGAGGAAATTTTCTAGATTAAAGACTTTAATGAACAAGGTTAAATAAAATACTAATTTAAAAAGTATATTTTATTATATCATTCTCAGAGTAAAGGTACACATATGATTATTTGAACAAAATAATTTAGATCTTACTGGTCTAAAAATAAATATTTAAATGAATACATTAGATATATCAGCATAGTCATCTGTAAGGAATATGATGATTCTAACACTCACGACTTTGGACAGACTTAATGAGTTCCTGTCGAAATTACAACAGAAATAAATGTCTTTGAAATAGCAGAATGTGCAAGTGTAGCACAGTGAATTAGTCCATGAGAATTATTTCCTGGTTGGAACAGGTCTTATTCTATAGTCCATGATCTCTCTTGAAGCTTTACTGCTGAAGAGAAGGCTCTCCTGATTTCGGCTCTGACAACCTCCCACGCACACGGGCTGTATCTCTTCTCGTTCAGGTACACAGCGATCCTGTGGAAGTATCTCCTCACAGCCAGCCTGGGGGCCTCATGCAGCAGGGCAGCCTCTTCCAGCCCCTCCTCCTGGGTCAGGCAGGCCCACAGGTCCTCTAGCTGCTGGTGGAGGCCGGTGCGGAAGGCGTCCAGCAGGCTCTTGTCCCAGGCAGCGGATGAGTACTGTGTGCTGAAGAGGCTGAAGGTCTGGATGTTCACCTCGTGGAGGACGTAGAGGGCCTGAGCTTTCTGGAGCTTCTTGCCATCAAACTCCTGTTGGGGGAGGCCAAAGTCCTTCCTGTCTTTGAGGCAGGAAAAAGTGGAGATTCTCCTCATTTGTTCTAGAAGTATCAAGACACTCTTTGGCCTCAGACTGTGTGCCTGTAGCTGACCACAGTCCAGAGAGTAGGCTGACCTGCAGCTGAATATGGCCGGAGCCATCAGTAAAGTAAATGTGAGTGCCATTGGTGGTCTGGTAGAAGCTTCTATCCTGGCTGAACTTTCCCTTCTAGGTTCTCTGAAGACCCTAATGTGTCCACAGATCTTACATTGGACATGTAGTGCTTTTCATTTTCTGAATGTAACCCCCATTACTTTCAACTTCAGTTTTTACTTTCCTTTATGCATTCTCTATGTGGATTTAAGCAGTGTTTCTCAACCATTCTGGGCTTATTGGTTCCCACTTCCTTACTTCAAGGCTATTTAGGTATTTTTTCTAATTAAAAACAATTAAGTTTTAATAACATAAACATATTCTATATGTAGTCATTTACCCTTTGTGAATGAATACTTTATTATAAACTGTGTTAAACTTGTCTTTTTATTCAAGCCAGGGTTAAAAATGACTGAATACAAATTTTATTCTCTAAGTTACATTTAAATAAATTGACTTTTTAACTTACCTTCATAACTAAACTTACTTAGTGATTATGATTTATTTATGTAATTTAATTAATTGCTGTTATGAAAGTAATATAATTTGACAATCTGTAATATAGGATAGCAACAAAGTAAAATGACTAAAATCATTAGATGCTAAAATGTATCAAAAAACAACCATTATCTTAACATACTAATGTACTTAATTGACTTCTTATGAAAAAATGTTGAACTTTACTTGCAGCTAGATATTACAATATTCAATTTTTTCTCTTACATACTTGTCATAATTATGGATATTTGCAATAACTTCGTAAACTTATAAAATAAAATTTGAAATTTGTGTATTTAACTCTCAGTGGCCGCAACACCGTGAGAAGCACTGAGCAGCAGACGTGAGCAGTGGCTCCCGTGCAGACAGTGACACCACTCGCAAGCAGGCCGCCCCTCACGACCGATTCACAGATGCAGCCCACCTGAGAGAGTTCTAAAGTCACAGCCTAGGTTTGTCAAAAGCTTGAAGGTCTGAGTCCGCCCGCCATTAGCCTTTCTCCACCATCTCAGGGTCGGTCCTTTGTTACGTGATCCACACAAAGAAACAGTAAAAATATACTAGGCCATAAGGTTGCGTCAGGTCCCATGGAGCTTTTGAGGACTACAAACCATTGGAATATCTAAGTTTTATTTACACACCTGAGAGTTAATTTTCACACTCTTCAGACCAACACCGTATCCAATGAGAAAATACAGTTGACAAATATCAATTTTATTATAAAATGTTTTATT